TTATGAATTATTGGAAAAATGTATTTTTGTGATACATAGTTTAATTATAGAACAACATTGTGAATTATCAGTTCAAATACGCTTAACTATGGAGTTCTTTCTGCCGGAGCTGTGAGAGGTCTTCTCTTTCTTAGTTCTCTTTGTTGCTGTCTTAGATACCTAGTTTCTCGCATTTTTGTTTGTTTTCTCAGATCCGTTGCTATTCTCCGTTGGGAAAAGTTTATGCCTTCAGATGGCTCTTCGTGCCTTCGTGATGACCTACTTGTGGTTCTCACTATAATAACCCTGATAAGGTCTAGGGCCGTTCCGAGAAGTTGATCCTGAAGCAGTTGAGAATCAAGGGCAGAAGAGTCAGAACGACCATCAATCAAAGAAAATCTCTAATGGATCGGAAATGTTTGGTGTTGGATCAAGGCATTTAGCCAATAGAACGGTACAAGCAGTCGAGGCTGGTCCTAGGTTGCCTCGGTTTTGGAGGATCTCTCCGATGGATGGAGAGGCAATGTTGATGCTGGTCTCAGGTGCGTCGTGGTTGGAGACGAAATGATTAAGTGTTGGTGCCATATGACGTATCTTCCCTGAGATTTGGGATATGCTTGAGGACGGCATCGGATCTCGATTGAGATTTCGTTCGGCTTCCTTTCCTCGACTTATGGTCTTCCTTGTTGCTGTCGTTTGGCGTCAATCAAGTGGCCTTCCATTTGTGGTTCTTCACTTTGTTTTGCTCCAAGTTCCAAGATGTGGTTGGTTCTGGATTTAGTTCTCTTCGATGTTAAACCGCTTTTTTCTCTTTTTATTTTTGGTTTAGTCTCATATCGAAACTTTTAACGGGCTTGGTGGTTGTCTTCTCTTGCAAGGCTTTTTTCTTCACTGAAGGGGTCGCATGGTTTCTAGTTGGGGTTTGTGTAGCCTTTACAAATTTCAATTAATTTACGTATTAAATGACCGTAACATATTTAAAATTTGTATAATAATTCATGCAATGTAATTATTTTGTCGATTAACACTATATTAATTTTACACAATAATTACTATTTTAATCATCTGGATCCAAGAGTTTATAGTTTTCTCTAGCGTCCATCCCAATCTTCGCCGTTGACTCGCAGTGAACTGTAATTGCTTCAATTTGAACCACCAATTTCTCGATTAAAGTGTTTAACAGACTGGAGACTGGAGCTCTCGGCGAAACAATCAGATCCGGTCGAGCTCACTATGTCTCTGCTGATCTGATAAAAAGAACTAATAATTAGTGGGGAAAAAAGACAAGTTGAGTTGGTAAATGCCAGAAAATATGGTCCAAAAGACCAAACTAAAGTTACGCAAAAACAACCACAACCACTTAACTGTCTTTCCTCCATGCAAAACACTAGTTTCCGCATTTCGTCTATTCTCTTCTCTCTCGCTCTCTACACACTTTCTCATTAACCTCTACCCAAACTCAACACCATGATCTAAATAGTGTTTTATCATCAGTTCCAAAACAATTCAACTAATGAAAAAACAATCTGCAGAATTT